GGCCCCGAGCAGCAGCCCGGGGAGGCGGGGCTGACGGATGGAGCCTTACGCGTTGCGTCTCCATGACATGATGTTCCTTCTAACTACGGAGAGTTCAACTCCAGTTTAAAGCAAAGGAAGTAATTTCTGGGAACAGCTTTAACCTTTCTGGGTTTGGGTTTTTTGTTTGTTTTGCTCGGTTTTTGTTTGGTTTTTTTGTCACAGTTGAATTTCCAGCAGTCCTGTTGAGCACTTCAACAGGAGAGATTGAATCTGAATTTCACACGTATGTCCAGCCTCAGGAGCATCCTATTCTCTCTGAATTTTGTACAGAACTAACTGGCATAACGCAGGTAGAGTTGCTATTCAGTATTATTTTACACCGTTATAATTGCTATTTACTACTTTTTTTAAACATGCCTTTCAAGAGCTAAAGAGAAACACATCTCAAATTAATTTTAGTGCATACTAACACATACATTTCTTGTTCTGTTCCATAAAGAATCAGGTTGATGAAGGGGTCCCTCTAAACATTTGTTTATCGCAGTTTTTGAAATGGATTCAAAAGATACAAAAGGAGAAGAAAATTATATTCAGTTCAGATATTCCAAGTCATTCTACTTCAGAGGCAAAACCATGTACCTTTGTTACTTGGACAGGTAAATAAAATTTTCATTTGGCTTTTCTGCAGAATACTACACATAAAAAATGAACATTTGGTGGTGCTAGTGAGATTGTGTCTTCACTTCTAGAAAGTCAAAATCCTGTTATTCGGTATTAAAGATCTGCAATATTGGGATAAGACTGAAAATACAAAATCCATTGAATCCTGATGTGTTCGCTACATCTTTGTCTCCAGCGTCTGACATCATTACATTTTTCTGCTTTACATATAGTGAACTGTGTCACCATTCTTAGTGTGTCTAAATGATGTAACGAGGTCTTTGAGATCTCTACCCACCATGAAGTCATTCTTTACTGACAACAGGCATTCACTTATCCTGATGTCCCACTGCAGCAACCCTAGTGCTTTCATGTACAAAGACTTCGTTAGCCTGTTCTAATGAAGCCTGTTAGCCTACACTTCCTGTCCAGGAAGTGTACAGTACTAGTACAGGATACTACTAGTATACTGAGGGTATGTCCCTTTATGTGGATTTTAAGCCATGTAGATTTTAGGACAGTTCTTTAGTGATGGATTATTTGTGGGTTTTTTCTGTGCAGACTGGGACCTGGGTGTGTGCTTGCAGTATGAGTGTAAAAGGAAGCAGTTGCGAAAACCTGACATTTTCAATTCCTGGATTGATCTCAAAGCAACATACAGGGTGAGAAGACTGATAGACTATGAAACATTGATACCCATATTATCATCTCAAAGGCTAACTGTATCTGAAGTTACAAGCAAGTATTATATGTTCCAGTGACTAGAGTAACCCATTTATTTTCCTTCCGTGTTGTTATTGCTCAATAACAAATTGCATTTGTTAGAACTGTATGAATTTTAACAGAAATCTTAATACTCAGAAAACAACCTGGTATTATTGTGGAGAAATGAATGATAGTCCTAGGAGAATTTTTCAAGCTGCCTTTCCTTTCCTGACATCTTTTGCTCTGCTGGCTTCCTAACTTCCCTGGTTTTGCGTGCTCTTATTGCTGCCTTACACTGCTGCATAGAAAATAGTCATCACCATCTGTTTAGAGGTACTTAACAGGTCTAGCATGTGAACTGTGCTTGGACCAGAAAGTATATTCTGAACAGCATGAATAATACTGAAAAAAATGAATGTATATTTTTATTACACAGTCTACACCACAACAGAGTTCTAACCTGGGGGCTAACAGCAGCTCAGCATACCTTCCCCTGTGTACTCAAAGAAACTTTCAAAGGGTGATCCAGGAGTCCATCTATCCTGACACTTGGAGCTTAGGCTCTTAACTTAGGCAGCAGAATTAGGTCTCTAAAGATAAACAGCGTGAATATTCCCTCTTTCTTGTAATCAAATGAGATACTGGGAATGAGTAGCAATACTGTCTTGTCTCATTTAAAAACAATTTATTATACCTATGCCAAATATATTAATATCCATGCCTTTGCAATATGCAACAATTTAAACATCTCAAGATATTATTTATAGTTGCATTCTTCAATGCTGTGCTGTTAAGGCCTTCATCAATGCAAGCCATAAAGTGCAAATAAGTAACTGCAGAGCTAAGACAGAATGGATTAGTTTAAGACTGAGAGAAGGGATTCATTGTTCTTTCCATTCCAATTTGTTACAGGGTAAGTCACTTACTGTCTTATGCTTATTTATCCCAGCTGTAAAATGAAGATACTTGACTTACACAATTGCCTCGCAAGATTTATTATTCATAAGGTGATATTTCTGAAATGGCTTTCACTTCACTGTGAAGATGTTTTGAAATGCTTATGTTAAGCACTTGCATTTTTTTTCCTTAGGCCTTCTATAATAGGAAGCCTAAAGGGCTAAGCGGTGCCCTGCAGGATTTGGGGATAGCTTTTGCAGGACGGGAACATTCTGGTAAGTATGATATGATGATCCTCATTTTAATGTACTTTTTTTTTTTTAAAGCTAAATAGCTACTGTTTAGCTGTAGTTAACTAAACTAAACCAGCTAGTAATGGCTAGTCATTACTCTAAATAGTAACTATTATTTCCAGGTTATGCAATGTTCTGTCCAACAAAAACATCAAAACAAGAAAGGCTTCAAAGACCAGAGTTTGTTATTTCTAACCTCATGCTTTATATCTGAAATCTCTCCTAGTGCTATTGAGTGCATGTTCAACAAGATCAATCTCTGAATTGCTAGGGCACAAAAGAAAAGAGGTGGAGGAAGGATAAGAAAACTTGATTTTACCCGATAGCTCTGGACAGCATATTAGTGTAGAGAATAGCAGCACAATATGATTTCTACTACACGACTAATAATATTAAACAGAGCAAGGATTTAAAAAATTGTGGATATATGGGTATGTGGATATATTCAGCTCGATGGGTTAGTCCTTCAGGTGTTTCAGCACAGGGAATTTTCTTGAATTTTTTACTTCTGCTTCCCTTTTTTGAACTAGGTAACTATGTGTCAGAGTTCTGTGAAACCCTGTCACTTATGTAAGGCTTGCCTAGATTACATTTTTCCCCTAATAAGAACTATATCCCCAGTAGTAGTTTGAAAAAAAAAAAAATTAATATAACCATACTTTTGAAGGTTTGGATGATTCTCGGAATACTGCCCGTCTTGCTTGGAGGCTGATTTGTGATGGATGTGTGCTGAAGGTTACTAAATCTTTGGATAAGGTTAGTAACTACTTCTTATCTTTCCTTCTACTTGCTTTGTAGCCTGGAATACAGATGAAAGGTGAGCTATTCAAATAATAAACCCAGCATCTTGACTATGAATTGAACAGAACATCCCTAGGCTGATACGCTTACTAATTTTGTGCATTGATTCCTAAAACTTCTGAGTATTCTTTCTAAAATCTCCTTTTGTTTATGGACTCTCTAGGCAAAGAGTAATTTAATTTCCAGAACACTGACTACAAACTTCACTGACAGGACTCCACAGGAAAGTAACAGTAGACCTGAAACATTTAGAGATGGAACTTGTGAAATAAATTCTCTGGCCGAGAAAAACCACAAGTGTGTCGCTGGGATTCAGATAAATTCTAATGTACAAACTGAAGAACAACAGACCACTTGCATTGGTTCTTCTGCAGATGTCCACATCGTACCTAGCAGCAGCTCAAGGACAGAGTTACATGCTCAAGCCCGAAGCTCTTTAACAGCATCCACTGGCAGATTGCCTGTTCCTCTTGAGCAGGCACAGCAATCTCACAGTACTGTGTCAACAGGCATTGAGCAAGGATTGAACAAAGGGCAACCTCTGAGTATAGCCAGATCTAGCTGTACTAGATCTCCAGTACACCCACCAGGACTAGTGCTTGTCGCCACTACTATCGCCTCAGTTAGTATCTCCAATGAAGATGTCAGTACTAGTTCTGATTGCTTATCTCTGCTGACTGACTGGGAAGATGTCGCTTTAATACCAGAATCTCAATATGAACAAAATTCAGACTGTGTTCAAGTCAAAGATGACTCGAGTACTGATGTTTTAACAGTGTTTGAAGAGAAAACAATTCTGAAACAATCGGCTGTCATGAGTTCAGATAATCAGAGTTTGGAGAAAACCATAGTACCTGTGGAACCTCTGAAATCTATCATTTACAAAAGTCCTGATACTACTATCTATAATGTAGGGACAGTACAAAGGCAGACTTCAAATTTTGCAGCTTTTAAGTTACCATCTGCAAAGGTAAATGCTGCTTCAGCACAATCTGCATTAACTGGAAATTATTCTACTCCTTCAGAGGTTCCTAAAAGAAAGCCAACTAGTCCAAAAACATTTCCACCAGCAAAAAAACAGTCTTTTGCTATATATCAAGACAAAATGGCATCTTCTGATCATTCCTTTCCTTTAAGAAGTTCAAATTTGCCCAAAGCATCTCCTGCCATTCTGAACTCCACAGTCAATTTGAATCTGTCTGTAAGAGCTGTAAAAAATGGAAAACCAACTCCCCCTCTGTGTAATTGTGGTCGAAGAGCTAAAAAACTGCATGTGTCAAATGCTGGTCCAAATCATGGCAAAGCATTTTTTTGTTGTCCTGTTGGCAAGCATGAAGGTAGTAAGAAAGGTTGTGGATACTTCAAGTGGGAATATGCACTTCTAAAAGACAAATCTAATGGTCTTACCCTGAATGCAGATGCTTTGACCTCTCTTGGGTCTTACGCTAGTAATTTAGGAAATTCTTCCAACAAAAAATATTTGTGTCTTAGACCCTCTATGAGAACTTGAAAGTTGATAATTTTTTTGTCCAAATCTTAAACTCATTACATTGATCATGCTTAATATAATCAGGATAGTCAAATTATGTCAAATATATGTTCTGAGAATGGGACAAAAATGACACTGCTTGATAGCAGATATCTTAACATAGATAGAAATGGAAATTGCTCAAGCATACAAAAATAGCAATATCATAAAGTATCTTGTTAATGAAGTGCGAGAGAACAAATAAAAATACTAAGTACTAAAATTAAAGTATGAGCAGCTGTTGCTACAAATCTGAAATTTCTGCTTTATCATGTATTTTAAATTTAAATTTACTAGTCCAGTCCTTAAAGAATATTTTAATGATTTACACTTTTTTCTAAACATACTTGTTATGATAACTAACTTTAAAAAATGTATTTAGAAGTTCTTGCACTTCCCAAAAGTGCTTCCTGAAGCAATAGTGTTCTCTTAAACTTACTGTTTTTTTATCCTTTAAATTAAGTAACAATAAAGACGAAAAGCTGGTGACACTCCATTAAATACTTTATTTAATGCACATCACCTATTGTGCTCTTGACTCCATGAGTTTCCCTTTTCATTTGTACCAGTCTGTCTGCTTTTGTAATTTTAGCTATTAGTGTAGCACCTGCACAGCCAAATGCTGGGAATCAGGTAAGAATTTTGTCACAGAAATCACAGAAATCACAGAAACACTAGGTTGGAAAGGACCTTCAAGATCATCAAGTCCAACCATTAATCCAGCGCCACCATGTCCCCTAGACCATGTCCTGAAGCACCACATCCACACGTTTCTTGAACACTTCCAGAGATGGCGACTCCACCACCTCCCTGGGCAGCCTGTTCCAATACCTGACCACCCTCTCAGTGAAGAAATTTTTCCTAATATCCAATCTAAACCTCCCCTGGCGCAACTTGAAGCCATTTCCTCTTGTCCTATCGCTAGTTACTTGGGAGAAGAGGCCAACGCCCTCGTCGCCACAACCCCCTTTCAGGTAGTTGTATAGAGCGATAAGGTCTCCTCTCAGCCTTCTCTTCTCCAGACTAAACAACCCCAGTTCCCTCAGCCGCTCCTCATAAGACTTGTGCTCCAGACCCCTCACCAGCTTCGTTGCCCTTCTCTGGACACGAATCATGGAATCATGATTGTCGAATCATGGAATAGTTTGGGTTGGAAGGGACCTTTAAAGGCCATCTAGTCCAACCCCCCTGCAGCGAGCAGGGACATCTTCAACTCGATCAGGTTGCTCAGAGCCCCGTCCAACCTGGCCTTGAGTGTTTCCAGGGATGGGGCATCTGCCACCTCTCTGGGCAACCTGTGCCAGTGTTTCACCACCCTGATTGTGAAAAACATCTTCCTTATATCTAGTTGAAATCTGCCCTCTTTTAGTTTAAAACCATTACCCCTTGTCCTATTGCTACAGGACCTGCTGCAAAGTCTGATTCCATCTTTCTTATAAGCCTCCTTTAAGTACCGAAAGGCTGCAATAATTTATTCAAACTTAAACTAAGAAGGACATAATATACTGCCTTTTATGTTACTGTGTAAATCTGAAATACCTTAATTTGTAAAAAATCCCATGAAAAAACAACAAGTAATTCTAATCTTTTCTCCACTCCTTCTGGCGCAGTTCATTTCTTCTGATCTTCCCACTAATAGTTTGTGGCAACTGTTGAACAAACTCCATCTATTGGGAAACAGAGGAAATTGCAATTCAAAATAAGATACATTCTACCTCAGTTTTTACTTTTTCTTAACCTCAGTGGCATAGGCTTATAAACCACATAACAGTTAACAGCCCCTGTCTTATGGCAGTGAAAATTATTTGGGTATTGGAGCACTCACCTTCCTAGGGTACTTGTATGGAGCAGTAACTTTCTTAACATGGTCTTGTAGCTCTTTCATCATTTTTCCCGGATCACGTGAAGCATAGTCAGATGTTAAAACAACAAAGGCTTTCACCACCTAAAGAAGTTATAGCCGCAATGGTTTAAATGCCAATGAAACAGTATTACACAACAGTAAGATTCAAAACTTTAACCAAACATTTGCTTACAAACTGCAGAGTGATGTTTAGAAAGCTTTGCCAAAGCCTGTGGGTGCTCATTATAGGTCTGGACTTTGCAGGCAGTTTATATACATTTAATAAAGATGAAAAACTGTAAGTATTTGAATGACAGGGAAAGCTTCAAATGGTGCTTTTGTTATCTTGGATTTGAGGCAATTACCTTGGTCATTTTTGTCCTATGTGGATTCTCTGGTGTCTGGTAAGAGTAGAAACACTGACTTATTTAGTTTTAATTTAAAAAAGAAAAAACAAAATCCCTGGATAGACAAATCCCTTGGAAGTTGGGCTTTATTAGCTCTGGCATGCACAAAGCTACTTAAATATATAAGCTTGTTTAACTTCACCTCTCCTCTGATGGGGTCTGGACTGCTGACAACTGCTGATTCCACCACTGCAGGATGCTCTATGAGAGCACTCTCTACTTCAAATGGTCCAATACGGTATCTTTAAAACAGAGGAAAGGGCTTTTAGTTGTATTTGATAACACATAAGCATAACAACATCTGAATCATCTGTGTTATTAGAGTTTAATGATTTATTGTTAATCAGTCTTAAATTACCCAGCAGAATTAATGACATCATCAGCTCTTCCAACAAACCAGAAGTATCCACCCTCATCCATAATCCCCCTGTCTCCAGTCACATAAAAGTCCCCACGTATTGTTGCCTCTGTTTTCTCTGGATCATCCTAGGAAATATTAAATTGCATTTTATTTGAAAATAACTGAAAAATAGATGAAATTGCATTCTAACATAATAAGCACATAAGTTAGGGTGCAGTCAAATATTCAAATATTTCAGCTTTTCAGACCATACTGTGGTCATGTGCATCAGGTTCAAGTGGGACATTAGTAATAGAGAATTATTAATTCACCATTACTAAGCTACAAAACTAGACATAAAATTTATAAATTGCAATAAATGAATAAATTTTCACTATTTGTGACCGACTTAAAATTTTAAATCATAATATAATATGCACCACGGGTTTAGGAACCAATGAAGGTTGCAAAAATAGGTAAGCTTATGTAACGGAGATTGGTGATTTTAGGTGATTATCCTTTAATGTTTTTTTCTTGGTATTTCTAGCATCTCTTATTATCCTGAGATTTTTTTTTTCACCCCCAGAAAAGTTTTGGCTCAGCACAGTGCAACTAATAAGCACTCTTTCTAGAGCAAATATAACTGACTTCTGCAAGAATTTTTTGAGGCAGTACACCTAGAAAAGGTGTTCTTTTCCCACACGCTTAGTACTGCTCAGAAGACTTAATTATAGGCTGACATTGTCCATAAAATTTAATAAGGTTTGCTGGTGTCAGAACAGAAAGCGCTATGTATTTGTTTTACCGGTTGTTGGACTGAAAATTCTAACCAACATGGAAAAAAAAAATTAAAAAATTTTGCCGTGTGTGAAACACTCCATGAAGCTCAAATCTGGAGAGAAGGGATTTGATCAGTGTCTCAACTGCCCAGATGGGGGCTCTAGCTCTTAGGCCAAACAGTATTTTGGGACTAGGGGAGTCCGTCAAACATTTCCCTTCATATTAAGAAAATAACAATCAAAAGAAAGTGGATTTCAACTTGCTAAGCAGGACAATCTTACTGAACACCTAATTGTTGTATAAGTAGACCAAGCATCTGCAGGAAAAAAATGGAAATCCCTCTTTCCTCCCCACAGGTTTTCAGACCACTAAACAGAGTATACGTAAATGAAATGGGGCATCAGATTCCTTGTAATAGAGATTTAACAGAATATCTACTTTAACTGTAGAAATATTCTTACAGCATAGCGTAAGTGAAAAGAAAAAGCGATCTTGTAGGTTTTACTCTGATGGCAATATCTCCTTCTTTTCCAGGAGGCAGAATATTATTATTTTCATCTATAATCTAAAAACAAACAAAACACATTTTTATTATCTTGGAGACAAATTAAAAAGCATTAAGAGTATAGAATCTTGGTGTGCATTTAAAATACATAACCAAAGGTTTTTTTTAAATTGGAAAATGATTTGGAGCAGTAGGGGACAACTAATTATTACTAATCCGTTATACTTTGCACTATGTCTTTTATCTGAGGAATGCCAAGTACTATACAAACATACAATGAAGTCATTAAGACCTCAGGGAGGATCATAAGTACTGAGGTGAGAAAATTTAAGAACTGAAAGAAAGATACTAAAAATCTTAACCCATATTGCGAATTGATCTGGTGCTAGAATCTGCTTCAGCAGCTTTATTATCACCAGAAAACAACATTCACTCCCACTCCTTAACTCAGCAGTTTACTTTCTATCATTGCCTTAAAGTTTGATATCTGTCAGTTAGCAGTGGGTTGTCATCTATGTTGGTGAGGACAGTGCAATAGGGAAGTCCAATTGCTTATTTTTCATGCTCAGTTTAGGGCAGTAACATGCTTTTCTTCACTCATTCATTTCATTTTCATTTCATGCTGAATGATGATACAACTCTGTGTTAGAGCTTTCAAAACTCTTTAATGGAAAGTGATTATGCAAGAGAGAGAGACTGAGTCACCAGATACCTTGACATCATACCCTGGAGATGGCTTTCCCATGGAGCCAGGTTTGATTTTCATTCCCTTAAAATTTCCACAGATCAGCACCTGTAACAAGTGTTGTTGGGTTTGGGCGGTTTTTTTTAAATTAAACTGTGGCTTGTATATTCAGTCTTTAGCTTAGGTTTAAAATACTCAGCTAATATTGTGTATTTCTATAAAAAATACTAATTGTCTTCATTACAATCATACATCCAATGATTAAACTTCTAGAAATAACCTATGCCCCTGATCAGATCACGCCCACAGCTCCAAATAACGTGAGTGCTCTAAAGATAGATTCGAAAGAAGAATTTGGGATGCTGTAATGAGAAATATAGCCATTTTGTTAGTTCCCAATCCAAAGCCCACAGGAGCGAAAA